AGGTGCCTACCAAGGTTGCCTGTACTTGTTTGTTTTCTTTCAGTTTAGGCGAACTGAGCCACACGCTTGTTTCGACCGGTTCAAATTTGAAAAAATGATAACCAACGCACAAAGAAAACAAGTTTCAAGCACTTTTTGAGATTTTCGAAGTGACTTTCACTATTGAACGACTGCATGCACTTGAATGTTCAATTCAAGAGTTCATAAAACGTGACTACCCCATGCTTGTCACCTACCAACAGGGTGCTAACTCTCAATGGCTCGAGCCCAGTGTTAAGTAAGCCTGTGGGGAAGTTACAGCCGTCAAAACGCACAATGACGAGGGGGGGGGGGGAGGGGGCGCTCACGTTTTCTTAGAGTGCAGCTATCACATCTCTTCCAATAATTACTGACTCCCAGGCGTCTTGCCGTAGTTTTGTCAACGGTCGCCTCTCCAGATTCGCTCATCGAATTTTAACTAATCACCCCCCTGAACAACTCCCTACAGTATCCTTGATATGGACGCCGGGGCATAATTCCCTGAGCGGGAACGAACGCGCACACGCGTCAGCCCCAGCTTTAACCCTCCGGGCCCCGCCACCGCAGGAAGACCCATCCCTGGTCCCCATCCCGATCCCGCTTACGTATCGTGACATCCTTCAACATCTCCGATTGGGTCGCCGCACCCTTCCTCCGCCGCACAAATCTCTAACGAGGACGGACGCTGTAGGTTGGCGCATGTTGCAAACAAATACTTTCCCCACCTCAGCCTCTTACATGCCATGTACCCTACAGTATACCCCACAAACAAATGTCCCCTGTGCACCGAAAAGGCTTCATTATATCACATCAAGTGGGCATGCCCTAAGATTCAGGCTGCCCCCCCCGTTCCCAACCCAAACGCCGAGCAGTGGGAAGCTGCGCTGTCCAGCTGGGATCCGGACGACCAGCGTAATCTGGTCTCCCGGGCCCGTGCCGCAGCGTCAGCTAGAGGGGCCCTGGAATGAGGGCTCCTCTCGCCTCGGAAGAGCCAAACTAATTGTTTATTAAAAGTCTTTTCTCTCTCTCTCTTTGTAGTCTTTATTTTAAAGCATACAATGCTTTTTAACCCTACCTCCAATCCCAAAATTGTGTCCGTCCGTCTGTTTGTCCGTGCATATCTCGTGAAATTTACCGGGGAAATTGGTGTCACGTGACCTATACACATATTGGAAGTTCCGCGCTTCATTTGGCGAGAAATTCGATGCCACCTGACCTGACGTCACGGGACAGACAGACCACTTCAGTTCCCCCATTAAACTTGGCGGAAACTTTAACGTCAAATCAACTATACACCAATTCTGTTTCCCCGCTAAGTTTAGAGGAAAGATTGAGTTCGCATGACCAATACCCGAATTCAATTTCCCCGCTAAATTTGGCGGGAAGATTCATGTCACGTGACATGGCGTCACGTTACTTATACACCAATTCATTTTCTCTGCTAAATTGGGGGTGGGGTGTGTGGATATCTTGTAATCTGACGTCAAGTGAACTGCAGACCAATGTAGTTTCCCTGCTATAGTTATCGGAAAAATTAACGTCTCGCGACAAGATGTGACGTGACTTTTACTATACAAGAGTGTACAGTATGATCTTCTGAGTAAATTAAATTGATTACTTACAGACTTCATTTCATGCATTGTACGATGTTAAAAGCAAAGGTCGTTGCCAATTATTTTTTTAAGTTCTTCAATGTATACTTTTGTCTTTCTACAATAATAGATTGCTCTGATCTCAGCTGGTATTCTTGTTCAATGAGATATCCTTAGTTTAAACACTTGATAAATGCAGTAAAGGTATTTGCTGCGATAAAGCCTCACAAGATTATAAAAGTAAATATAATTATGTGCACTTCTGAGCAACAGTATACGCATAATTTACCATAATTCCAATCCCTGCGGTTCAAAAATTGATTGAGATAACTACATTTTTGTTTATTACGGGTCACGGAGAATGACAAGAAATAAACGATATTGCATAAAAAATACAACCAATAAAGCTGTAGGATACGACCAAATAAAGACAACGGACCTTAAAAGCCACATCCACGTGATGAAAACAGCTCAGATTCAGCTATGATTAAGCTCTAAATCTGCAGATTATCAAGTGATATCATTTCTAAAAAAATAAGACTATTTTTCGCCCAATATACAAGAAGGGCAAGAAAAATAAATTCCTTGTTTATACACAAGTTTGTATACTCTTGGTTGTTAATTATATAATGTAAAAATACATCAATAACATACTTGGGAGTGTTATCGTGAAATATAATATCACAATTGACACGCGATATGATTTCACAAAAAAAATCGGAACTTCACTTTTTCTGCAGGATTGTTTTGACTATGTATACGAAAACCTTCACTGTACAAAATATGTGTTAGCTGTTTTTGAAGATTTTACACTGGAGTTTAAAACTATAAATCACTCTATATCATCAGGTCGACTGTACAGCTTAGGGATTCAGGGAAACGTACATGCCTTGTTAGAAAATTATCTTCTTGACAGATATAAAGTAGAGCGACTAGGATTTCAATATATTAAAGCAATTAGGGTAAAACAAGGAGTACAGCAAGATACAGTTCTGGGCCCTCTACGTTTTAGTTCATATGTCAATGAGATTGCTCAGGTAAAACTAACAAGCAAACAATTCCAGTTCGCAGATGACATAGTAATTGTGTACGCCCAGGGATGGACAGTATTTCAAATACAACATTTGAAATACGTATTTCAAATACTTTGTGTATTTTGCATTTCTACTTAATTATAAATTGGGTAATCTGTTTGACGTGTGTATTTAAATACTAAAACGTGGGTATTTCAAATACAATTGTATTTAAATACAATTTTGTGGACGAAAATACATCGCTCAAATTTATTGTCACTGTCCCGAGCAGAAAGAAAACTACGCTCTGCACCAAATGCAGTGTTTCTCAATCAAGCACAAGCGTTTACTGACTTTGTGATGACGGTGCTAGTTCAGGGCAAGAATAGTGACAAAATCGACGTTCACAGGCAGACTGCCTAAATAAGTGCCTGTGACAACTTGTGGTGCTTTCCAGCCTGCTTTCCATCCATATTTTTCCCTCGACCATTCTGAATGCGCGAGTCGTCCTGATTTTCGTAAGTGGTGCGAGCTGCAACGATAAAAAAGTCTCTAGCTGGTGCTGCGCATTTTGGACGTCTCGGTTCTTTCTTGGTATATACCAAAATGTCATTGACAAAAAACAAAATCTGCTGCTTGAAGCTCTGTACTTTTTTCACCTATTACGCCCAAGTTGATTATATTATTTTGTGATTATATTTCTATTACGTAATTAGAGCCTCGCACACCAACTCCCCAGTGTGCGATGCAAAATTAAAATGAGATACTCAGAAACCCGTTGCAGGTGCCCTGAAGTCGCTGACGCAAATTTTGAGGAATGTGTTTGGAAAACTATTTGCAGGAGACCAAATACATTTGGCTGTTTGTATTATTTGTATCTTGTACTTAAATGCTTTTTTGAAAATGTAATTAGATTTGTAATTAAATACATTTTGACGAAGTATTTTGTCATTGTATTTCGATACATATTTGCATGTATTTTGCCCATCCCTGTATACGCCCATGAAAGTTATGAAGTCGCCATTGGAGAAGTAAAGAAAGGCATTCACCATATTTTTTAATGGTACTGTTAAAATCAGATCATCGTAAATATTTCCAAAACTTAAATAATGTGCTTAGAGACCCTAGAAAAATACTTTTTACTTAATTACCCATTAAAATACATCACAAAAATTGTAATAACTGTTCATCCCTAGCAGTTCAATATGCTAAAAAATGTAAAATACCTTGACATGTTAGTAAACCAAAAGCTAAAACGGTACTATCACATAGAGCAGTATGGATAAAATTTAGGACATTGGTGGCTTATATGTTTCACATCCAAGAAATGGGCCCCCATTTTGTACATAAAATGATATTATGACTCATTATGAAAATCTGTGATACAATATTGAATAACTGTTTACGAGCACAGTGCCTAAACCTCCAAATAAAAGTTGAAACTCTCCAAGAACCTATATTCAGAAGAGTTGGTTGCAAAATCAAAAAAAGAAAACGATCCAATGGATGACATACATAAAGAACTATGTGTATTTTACTTCAGTGATCAATTAAAATACGATAGAGTTACAAAATTATTTTCAAGCAGTTACCACAAAATAGGAACTCTTAAGGAAAGAAGACTAAGGCCAAATAGGAAATATTTTAAATTATTGATAAAGACAAAGTGTGGAGAGGCTACAACAAAATATTAAGTGCCAAAACGTTTTAACCAATTACCTGAATAATTGACCAATTGCCAATACCCGCATGAAATTAAAAAAAAGACATTGCAAGACGATGGATCAATAAACAAAGACATTAAAACAACTGACATTTACTAAGGAACTTTACCTACGTACGGCCGTAACCGCGGTATGAATTGTATTCACTATTAAAACAACGCATTAAGTGGATTAGTAAATAGCAGTGTGTACCTAATAGAGGCCCGTTCCACCTGTTATTGTGTATCAGTGTGTTATCCGCTTCTTTTTCTCAATCTGTTTGTTTGATTAAACTCATAATATGTGTTGAAACTAAAAAAAAAATATGGTTGCTAGTTCCCTGCCGCGTCACACGCACAAGCCTTATTGTATTATGTGGGTACAGAGAGAAGTGTATTAAAAATAAAATAATGTGTATTGTATTTAAGATGGCGTCTTGAAACCACCAATTTATTATAAAAGTTTTAATCTGATATTAAGCAGACCCGAAAATGTTTGTTATTACGTTATCTCTGCGTACACTTGAATTATTCTCGGTTTAAACGTTAAGCCTCAGTTATGCAGGCGTCAAGCTCATATTTCGGAAGTTTGAAATTGAACTGACCCAAAAATAGTGTTACTTTGTGAAGAACAACCCACTGATCGATGTCTCTTCTTTCTATGGACCGCTGCAGGTGTGGAACGACAAGAGTAGCGTGTTTCCAGATTTCTCACACCCAAAGGCCCAGGAATACTGGGCTCAGCAGTTCAAGAACTTCCATAACGTCGTTCCTTTCGACGGGGCATGGATTGTGAGTTGGCTGATTCATTCTTTTTGGAGCCACCGGAACCACTTCTTACAAAGATTACCTTGTTGGCGCAGTCATTTTTGTCCCTGGTGCACTGTAGGCGCAATCGTCGATGGTTACTACTATTAAAACTGCGAAATTTAGAGCTTTAGAAATTGTGTCAAGAGGCTCAGAGATCTTCTTTTTTGCCGTTTGATGACTGTTTTAACATTGCCAAAAAGACAAAAAAAAAGCGTTTTTGTTTTCCGAGCTTAAATGAAACCAGATAACTAACAGGAAAAAATGACGTCAAGCAACGCACTATCTGATGTGTCATTTCCCTAAAGAGGAGCTTATTTATTGGCCCTAGTTCCTTGGACTCATCCACATTTCTTCATCTTGTTAATACATGGTCAACTTTCTGGGAGAATCCGTGGGATACAAAAGCTTTGAAGGAAACATGAACATTCTTATTAAACTGCGTTTAATGATGGCCAAGCAATTACAGTGCTCGGGAACACTACGATATTTCGTCAAGAAATGCACAAATTCGCAATTTTACAAATGTAACACATAGGCTTCAATGCAAAAACATGATTAGTGCCATGGAATTAAAACTATATGCGCCCAAAATTTTAATTAAAGCCTATATATATTATTTGACTGTCATCTATATTATTCCCGGGGAACATTGCGATGTTTGCTGTTCAGTTGAAATTATCGTGTTAGTTCATGCACCGAGATTCTGTTGTCCACAAAAGTTTGGGATATGGTGTGAGAAATTGACTAGACTTTCTTCAATATAATGAATTTTGAGAATCTCGAATAGTGGAAGATAAGAGGACAAATAATCTCTCTGATCACGCCTCAGTTCAATTGAATGCAAGATTATTTGGGAGGCTATTTTTATGCGGCAATTTATTTGAACAGGCTATTTATGTTTGCGAATCATCGATTCGAAAGGTCTAAGCAGAGGGTGCAAAGAAATGCAACGCGTTGGCATGATCTTGGCAGATTACGTGAACTACAATATGTTAATAATAATCATGATTGTTAATTGCAAGGACGACTATTAAACAATAAATAAATGAGTCTGATATATGCTGTCAACGTATACCACAAGAATCGTTTTACTGAAATAGTATGGGTGCTACTTGAGATATATCATTGACGGTTGCATTACATCAGGAGAATGCATCTGTCAAATGTACATTAACTCCTTATAATTGCGGAGAAAGTGTGAACTGAATATATTAAGGCAGGAGTTAAATTGTGATGTATTTTAAGCTACTCTCCCTAACCATTGTTAATGCCCGAAGAGAAACTGCGTACTGCTATGAAGTGTAGGAATAGAGCTGGGAAAGGAACTTTTTATGTGCTCATCTGCTCGGCACAAACAATTACAAAAGCCTATAAAAAATTTTTTTTTGTTAAAAAAAAACAAAAAAAAACATGATGCGTGCAATACTTATTTTAATGATTACATTTTTATTTTGCTTTTTTTACGATTGCCCAATTGTTAGTTTTGAGGTTTCCAAATATCTCAAAGTAAAAATATAAATGCCATTTTGTAAAACATACTGCTTTAACGGAGGTTATATTGCTCCTAATTGTAGGATATGAACGAGCCGTCCAACTTCTACAACGGTCATGCGGACGGTTGTCCGACAGCGGACAGGCTCGATCATCCCCCGTACGTTCCTGGCGGAGAACCGCTCTACACCAGGACGCTCTGCATGAGCGACCGCCACCACATCGCACCTCACTACTTCGTGCACAACATATACTCACATTTTGAAGCCAAGGCAACTTACAAGTAGGTAGAGATCCTAATTACTTTTTGGGTTGCGTCTTAGGCCTTTTCCTATTTTTATGCCTTTTTCACGGGGTGTTGCCCGAAACAACCCATTCCCGTTTTAACCCGTGCCGTTTTGACCCATTCCCGAAACGACCTTCCCGTTTGAACCCGTCCCGTTTCGACTCATTCCCGAAACGACCTTCCCGTTTGAACCTGTCCCGTTTCAACCCGTTCCCGAAACGCCCTTCATATTTGAACCCATAGCCAAGACATATTTTACGTTTGAATACGTCCCGTTTGGAGCCCGTTGGTATAAAGTCCCGCACATCTCAACCTCTTCGCGAAAAGTGTCCATCGTTCTAATCCTGGTTTGCGCAGTTTTTCTGCTTAAGAATATGTCCCGAAATCATGTTAATGCAATTAATGCAAAGGTGCAGGCGAGCGATTCAGTTATGTTGTGAAATATTTTTGCTTGTAAGCGTATTCTTAAAATGCGCAATACTTTCAGACAAACTTCAACGAAATATATTTCTACTTGAACCACTTAAAATGTTTCTTTCAAGATGGTCCCCAAAATGCGTAACTACGAAATGGACTATGTACACTGCGCGACAACGTTACCATGAACACGATGTTGGCGATTTTTCGAATTTTACTTCGAAATGGTATTAGAAGGTACCACATTTTACCGCTTAGGTTAGTGGCCCACATGAGCGCTTTCAAACACATTAATAATGTTGATGGCAGTCTTCTGATTTTTTTTTTTTTTTTTAGACAAACAGCTAAAACCAACAATCGCTTACTCGCGCTAACGGTTTCGTGCTCTGTGCAATTACAGGGAGCTTTCGTAGACCGTTTTCGACGTCACGTGGCGCTCCTCCACAACCCGCTACGATACCCAGAACGCTACAGTCAAGGCCATCGGCGCGCAGGCGCAGTAGCGGCTTCTTCGTTGCGGAGGGCTTAGCGAAAGGGGAAACGCGGTCTACGAAAACTCCCTAATGAAGTGTTAGAGTAACGCAGGCAAGCACAAAGTGAGCAAAAATTTGCGTTGCCTAAGTTTTTATATCGCGACGCAATTTTCAGGTTACCCAAAACGCTTGCGTACGTTATTCTAAAACTTCCTTATAGTGAACGGGATATTTTTAAAAGTTATAAATCAGACAGGCTGACGGGGATAGGATTGCAACTTCATTTTCTTACAAGTTCAAACACAGAACTGTCGCGTTCACAGGCAAAAATCATAAACCACAAAATGCTATCGCTTTGGTTGAGGAAGTTGAGCAGGAAAATCGCGCCATCAGAAAGGCGACACTCCAATTGTGATAGTTCGCGGCGGTCACCTGGCCCGCACGGCACCACCATTTGCAAGCTGCTGCAGCGATATCCTTCTCAAGGAGCATCCCGTTTGCAGGTCGATGAAGTTGTAAATGTTCGTGTGAGCTCTCCCTGACACAGCGTTTACCTTACAGTGCCATGTCTCCGAGGTTGTTTCAGGATAGGGAGAAGTGATGTGGGGGGAGCAGGAGAACAGACACTGGACACTTGAACCTAATCAACTGTTAACGAACAATACAAACGAACCGAACGATGGCCGAAGCGGGAAGGTTGTTTCGGGAAAGGGCGAAATGGGAAAGGATGAAACGAGAAGGTCGTTTTGAGCCGGATCGAAACGGGAAGGTACAAACGGGAAGGTTGTATTGGGAATGGGTCGAAACGGGAACCACCCTTTTCACGGATGTCTACTGTAACCTATACCACACATGCTTGGAAAGCCTATGATTAGTCGATACAGATCATAGCGAATTTTGTGATTTGTAGTATATTCTTACAAATGCCTGCATGCTTGCCTTCGTGGTATGCGATGCAAACACAAATTATTTTTTTTTCACTTTAATGAAGATCGCCACTAACTGGTATGTGCGCAATATTTTCCTTTTACCTTACTTCCACGATACCATTCGTCCTTCCGATTGGTACTATTCATAAAGTTAGATTCGAAACTCCAGGTAACGCTGTTCTGCCGAAAAGTTGGTTAAAAAATATTGTCATTATAATGCTCAAAATGGTGACAATTTAAATGCCTCGTGTAGTTTTGACGACCGGCAGCAATTGCAGAATTGTGCAACCATCATGAAACAGTGCAGAATCGGAGGCTTTGGTTCCTCTTTCTTTATCTTGGAGGTGTGTTACTAAGTTTTTTGCTTTAATACCACAGTTAATATAGATTTCGCCTGGCAGAACTTCAGAAGGCGACATCGGTGAAAAGTCTCTAGTCCAATATTCTTGGCCAAGCACAGCATGACTAATTAGAGATTAAGCAGACTCTGGTATATAGAGACTAAAAAAAAAAATGTCTCCAGCTTAATTTGTTGCCCCTCCGCTGCAGAACCGCCGTACTGGAGGTAAAATAGCATAAACATATTTACGGTTATTTGATTTAGGCCAGGATTATATGCAGACGATTAGCACAGGGGTAAACGTAGTGCGCAGGGCGTTTTAGCACAAGGTAAATGCATCCCGCTCGTTTAATACGGATGAAAGGATAAGGTTCATAAGCATCGGTTTCGAAATCGTCTTAATTGACAGATACAGCAAAGGTCGCAATAAAGAAGACTAAAAAAATACATAAAATGGAACAACATGCAAACGAATTCGTACGACTCTTGCAGGATGATCAGGTTCTTACGTCCATGGAACTTAGCTTGCTAAACAGATTGGTGTGCAAGTTGCTGAAGTTTCAGTATATTCAATATTACAGTGTCTATATTGGAAAATGCAGAAATAGTCACAATTCTTCTTGCGTATGCAATCAAGTGGCCCTCGAGTAATTATGGGAACGGTGGTCCTTCTCCTCATTATTGTTCGATATTTTTGACCAATTCGTAGACACTTTTGAGTGAAATCCAAGCCACCCTGAACAAGCGTCGTGTAGAGTTCAAGGACCTGTCATATCCCTCTTAAAATTTCTCGTCGATGTGCAGCGTTTTGAATAGTGTACTTGCAATCCACCTTACAACCTGGCTACGCTGCATAAATCTCTCACGTTACTATCATTCTCGTGATTGCGTTTTTTTAAGATCACTTGCTTAAAAAGCAAGTGATCTTAGTTAAAAATTAGTAGATCTTAGTAGTTAAAAATTGACTACAATCAAAACCAGGCTTTAGGTCTGAGTCAGAGGTGCTGTTTAGAGCCTTTTTAGCGTTTGTAACTTAATATCAGCATTTTTTAATCTGCACGAGAATAATAATATTGAAAGAGATTTCCGCATTTCAGCCAGGCTGAAGGGTGGATCGCATGCACAGTATGAAAAGCGGTGACATTGACGAGAAATTGTAAAAGTAATATGTCAGGTCCTTTGCCTCCACACCGCGCTTGTTCAGGGTGACTCGAGATTGCACTCAAAACTGGGCAGCCATCGAATTGGTAAAACTTACCGATAGCTAGGTATCTGAAGCAGCACCATTCCTGTGATTCCTATAGTGAGGGCCGGCCAGGGGCGTTTAGGTTATTTGGCAGATGTTCTGTATGCCAAAGTGCACAGCCAGGTATTGGTTGACGAGATGTGTCAACTCGAATCTTAAACACATATCATATTGTTACCATATTTGATAGCGAATATATATTTAACTGATTTGTCACTAGGCGATAAGCATTGGTGGTCATGCGGATAAACTAATATTAATTTTCATGAAGTGAAGTCTTAGTGATATGTTCTAAAAAAATAGATGACCGACTGACGGTGGTAGACGTCCTGTGATGAATAGACCCTTTGCAAAACGTAAATCGCCACGACGGCAGGGAATCTTGGGAACCCTCGGTACAGATCACTGGCTTTCTCGCTGCGCCTCCGCGACTGCGTGCGTGCCCGGCAGTTACCGCCAGCAGCCGTTGCAGCCATCCGCTATCCCGTCCATCCGCCGAGTCGTACGTCGTTGACGGGGTACCGTATCAGTGGCAGCGTAAAGGCATCGCGACAGGTGAACTTATTTCAATACTTTATTCGTCGTAACTTACCTTCACGTATTGAAGTGCCACCGAATCTACTTGTTTTGCACCGCAACCGTGGCAGATTTCCACCATGTTCGACAAAGCGTTGGCGCAGCAGACGACAGAACCGGTAGAAAGGGGAGCGATGAGGAAGGAAAGGGGCAGCCGTTGGCCCGTCGCTCGCCCGACAAGGCTGCTCAAAAGTTGTTACCGTGGTAACCTGCGCCTGCTCACGTATGCCACGTGGTCACGTGTAGCGGGAGAAGGGGCGTACCGAGGACTCCCATCATTCGCCGCGTGGCGCGCTCGGGATTTAGGGATTTTTGCAAAGGGCCTAATAAATTACCAGATGCGTTCAAGGCTAAAATTGGCCTTTCTTTTTTTACCTTAGATACTTTCATTATACCTTCTTGTCGTCTGGGTTCCAAACCTATAAGCTTGTCGGAAAACCAATTGTTTATAATTGTGTCATGATTATATACTAAAAAGTTGGAACTAGACAAATATTATACATATGAAGTGTATGGTTGACGTGGTTCAAAATTAATGTTATAAGGGCAATCCTACTCAGCGACTGTAATGTGGTATTGATTCATTTGTATTGGTATTTATGTTCTCAAGAGCCTTGGCATCCATCCGACGAAAACGACCGTTCATCATCTCTCGAGCGACGTCACCGGGACAAGCCGCCTGGTCGGGACACTGGTCAGGGGACATTGCGTCTTCCTGGGAGGACATGCGACTAAGCATACCAAGTACGTAAGATGCAGCAAGTTTGGTGTGCCTGATACCGTATCGCAAGTTTGTTTACTTTATACTGGTCGCTTTGCCCAAATTTCTGCTTTTAGGGGTAGTTTGCACTCGGAAAATTAGTAGGGACAGAATTCGTTTGCAGCTACGTCTAGTTCATTTTGATAACTAACAATTAATAATGTTTTAATAGGTGTGAAACGATTATATTTTCTTTTAAAATGAGAACACACCAACGTTTTGATTTCGTTGGTTCATATTTAATATTATGTTCGGCGTCACTTCCTAACAAACGCACTCTAGAATACGCCTAGTTGTTGCAGTTAATTTGGTACCACTAGAAAGCAAATGTCATTGACACATTAGCCGATATGAGCAGCAAAGATTGAATCACGAAGCGAAAAGTGCGAACATAATAAACCAAACTCTGGGGGTTCTTAAGCTGTCTCATAGAGTAGAAGCTAGGATCTTGGGATGACGTCAGAGAGGAAGTAGCTCGACCCCAGAGGGTATCACGAGGCCCCGATAACGGTGACGTGGTGGAGACCTTTTCGCGTATATCAATTCTAGGACATTTACGTCACAACTTTTTGGATCATGTGACCGTTACCATATGCTGCGCACCTTGGTGTGTGGCGTCACTCTGAGGCTCCCGGAAATCGAGACCGAAACAAATATCGCATTAATGAATCATTATAATTGTTGGCCTTGCTCTTTTACATATCTAGGGATGACCTGCTAATTATTTTAAAAAAATAGCAGCCCGTAATTGTAAGAATTTGCGCATCTATGGACAGAGAAATCATTGCGTGGAAGCTGTCTGCTTTTTGCAGCCTTCATCTTTCAACACTCCGGATTCATTGCCAGTGATCACAGATGAACTCGCTTTTATTTCTATTATTATTTCTAGTGTGAAGTTTTACCTGACTACCCGGCTTTCAAAACTATGCGTAATATAACCATACTCTCGGATCTTCAAACTATAAATTATATTTCTCTGTTGCTGTTTGAGATTGAGTTTTTTTTTTTTTTTTTCAAAATGCTGGAGATTAGCAACAGTTCGAATTATAACGTACAGAAAAAAAAAAAAAGCCTCAATGCCTGGTTTGGAATTTGTACGAGACCATTCATTGCCTTTAAAATGTATTTTATAAGTAGGGATCTGCGTTCTCGGAAAATACCAGGAGATCAAGGAAAACCGATAAACCCCGAACGGGAACAGCCCTTATGTAAGGACAACGAAGTCTGACTGGAAGTAAGTCTTTGTCTAGATCAGTAGTTCTCAAGTGGGGGTCCGTGGACCCTTTGGGGTACGCGAAGGCATTCTAGGGATCCGCGAAGCCCAGCCTCATCAGTCAAGCCCGTAAATAAAAGTTGTAATTTCTCAGATTGTGAACAAATGTTCCAATTTTCGGGTGAGGTTTCTCGTGTATATGTCAAAGAGTGAAGTCTACTTCACATTAGCCTTTACTTATATCCATTTATCAAAGCACTATAATAATGAACCTATACATTTCCTTCCCATCACCATAAATGGGGTCCTCCATCATCTACGCCGATTCACAAGGGCTCCGCGAGATATCGATGATTGAGAACTACTGGTCTAGATCTATATTGCACCTTGTCCAGGAGCAGAGCACGCATTGACCGTTCAAGAGCTTATTCCTGCTACAGAACCACACATCTGACCGTGTGTTTTTTTGTTGTTTGTTTTTTTCTTATCGGTAAGAAAAGTTATCTTTACTTAGGTAATGTGTAATTTTTCTTCGAGGTTGGGGTATACCCGTGTCGTATTTTCCTCTTTCTAAACCCTGATAAACTTCGCTTTTACGTCTCGCACCAAATACTGATAAAAAAAACTTAAATATATAGGGGAAAAAAACCCTCTGAGGAAGCGTTTTTGATTTTTCTAATCTGAAAAAAATTACACCCCTAAGGTGCGGTTCCCAAATCACAGGTCCCCTTCGTTAAAACATGTCCTTTGCACGATTTATCATTCAGGTTGTAACTTTTAGTATTTCACTGAATTCAACTACACTCTAAATAAAGACTGTGCGTATATTTTCCTGCACAGCACTCGGAAAGCCAATCACCGCAACTCACGGAGGCAGCTCAGCGAATGACTATGCCGAAACATATGTTTAGAACAAAAAACGCACTCTGAGGTGTGACATTAAGCAATGCAAGCGTGACGTTTTGCATTGCTTAATGTCACAACTCAGACTGCGTTTTTTTGGTATCAACATATGCTTCGGCATCGTCATTCGCTGAGCTGCCTCCGTGAGTTGCCGTGATTGGCTCTCCGAGAGATGTCCGTGAAAGTATACGCTCAGACTTTTTTTTAGAGCGTACGCACCTCCGAAAAACCGTTCGCAAAATAAAAGATGCCGGAATTGTTATGCCAGGACTCCCTAAACAACATTTTGTGTAATGCCGGTGCTCCTTCTTTGCAGGTTTGAAAATGCAGATGCTCCTAGAGTAACCCACAGCTTAAGAAACGCGAGGCGTCGTCTATTATGTTCACGCCCCTTGCTTGGTAATTAAACCTGCGGACTTCCTATTTTCCTAATGTCGCAATCTCATTGGCTAAGAAGCAATATTCAGATGCCTAAATCTGAATCCCGCAATCTCTTCGGCTAAGGAGGGATAATGAAATGCACGGGACTTTCGACACCCCGCGCATCTTAAGTGTTAAGTTGCTACGCGTTCCCATGCCGTGCAGTATATCAAGGTTTTCGCGTCTACACCTTTAACAACAGACGTTCGGTGAACATTTGCACCAGCATTCGCTTCTGCCGTCACGCTTTCTGCAGACATGCTGAGCTTCGGAATGTACGGCATGCCGCTGGTGGGTGCGGACATCTGCGGCTTCAACTCCAACACCACGGTGGAATTGTGTGCACGCTGGCAGGCCCTGGGTGCCTTCTACCCCTTCTCCAGAAACCACAACACCGATGACGGCTTGGTAAGCTGCGCGCAGTTGAAAAGAAATAATCCGGAAACCTGTCTCTCCTCAGTACATGATGAGGTGCTGCACCCTACTAGGATCTGTGTTTGTTCTTTATTTTTTTGGCTAGAGCGGGTAACACAGATGAACTCGAAAGCGAGCTGCATTCCTGTTTGCGTCGTTGAAAGTGCGCTCTCGCTTACAACTGGCATGAGAAATAATTTTGGTGGTTTCTTATTCTTGACGGCCTAAATGTAAGGTAAAGGACGAGGCAAAAGAAGGTAACAAGCGCGAAGTGTAGTCCCTCGGGGACTCTAAGGGAGCGTGTCCAAAAAAAAAGTAGAGTGTTAATAGTAGGAAGGTGTTATTGGCGTATTCTGAGAGATAAATCAGATATTGAGCGATTGGCTTTCATTGGGAGATACAATTAACTGGAAAAAGCGTAGCCACGTTGGTTTACCTAAATATATTGAACTGGATACGAACAACAGGGAGTAAGCAGACGGGCAGGAAATGGTGCACTATATCATACAGTGTTTTTTTTTTATTTGTTTTTGAGTTTTTATCGGGTCACGCGATGTCCTATTTAGCGTTCGATAAAATTTGAGGATACGGGGTGGACACGCATTTTTCGTCGTTTTGTAGCTTATGAAGAGCTACGAGTCTTCGTCGCTCTTCGTCTTACAGCTACGAAGACGACTTCGTAGCTCTAAGACTACGAAGTCGTCTTAGAGCTATTTACTAGGTTGAAAATATTTTAATGCCTCTGAAGTCGATTGCGCTTCGTAGAAAAATAAAACACCTCTCAAGTTAACATAGAACGAACAACACATCGGGGATTGGACGACTTCAACCTATGGGTGTTCACAGGTTGGATGTTTGAAAATGTTCAATTTATGATTAGAAAGCAGGAATCTATAAGTTTCATATTTATCAATGTAAGCTTACTTTATTTTTTACTTCGGAAATTAAAAACAGCGCGGAAAGACGAGGACCAGACAAAGAAGCGACACGGACGTAGCGCTGTTTTTAATTTCCGAAGTATGTACCAACTCGCCCAAGCCTCAACTTTAGCTTTATTTTTTACTTTGTGGTGCATTTACTTTCCAACCGGTGTCACCCCCAAGTGAATCCCCCTCAATCGCGGCGACAGAAACAGGAATTTCCGCGATTGAGGAAAGCGAAAATATATTTAGCTTTAAAATTAAGTATACGAAATGACCCTCGACGTGACGTTTACGCTCTTAAAAATAGAGGTAATAGTATTCGCTAGGTAAAAGCTAATAACTGCTTGTCACATATGCTAGGCGGTACATACGAGAAACGCTCGTAGTAGCCGTAGCTAGTAACGATTACTAGGAAATAAGCTAGTAACGGTGCCTTAACAAGCAAGTATCTTTAACTTTATTTAGCTAAAAACTGGCACTAACTCTCACAACACCTAGTAACCGCTACCCGAACCCAGGTGGCGCTACTAAACGTCAAATTCAAAATTGTAAAGCAAAACATTACAAGAACATTCGTTGGTAGATTCTTGGGGAATGCGTTCACATGACCCTCGAAGCGCCAGGCACATCCCATTTTTGGGAAACCCTAAAGCTGTCCTATTGACTTCTCACTGTTGGCTTTCTCCTCTGCTTCATCTATTTCTTGCTGCCTCTTACTTTTGCGTTTTCCGAGGGGTGACGCATGTGGCGTTTCCCAAGTGTCATGATGACGCATTTTCTAAGAATATACAAATGGATCTTACTGTAATTACTTTCACCCATTTTTGTACTCTGCCGCTCAGAGTACGTTGAAGCCGTTGGATACGGTCATCCATATCACCATGTGGATAAAACCACATAATACAACTCGTGGAAGGATCCGTATCCATATCACTCGGGGGGGGGGGGGGGGGGGGGGGACCGCATCTACAGTTTTAATTACACACACACACATTCACAGCCCACGCACCGCTATTATACTCCGCGACAACTTTTCTTGGCAATGCAGTGGAAGGTACATACAGGCCCGCGTCCCCTCTCCCATTTTGAATGTGCGCAGGCTCTCCTCCTCCCCCATTTTCCGGGGAGAGGAGGAGAGCCCGCGCACACTCAAAATGGGAGAGGGGATGCGGGCCTGTACCGTCCACTGCATTGCCAAGAAAAGTTGTCGCGGAGTATAGGAAACCCGGCGGCGGCACAGCGGTAACTAAACATGCCCGCATACAACCGCGCCGCGGTGCACTGCCCCTTATTTCTCGCACCGCGCCAGCTAAGTGAGTGACTACGGAAAACGAAAGGGTTCGTTTTGACGAAAACCGGTTTTGTCCGTCAGTTTGTCAGCGCCGGGGATAGGAGGAGAGGTTGATGCGCGCTGGTGTCAACGCTTCGGATGAACGAGAGTGTCGTAGGCGCAACGAGGTAGAGGGGCTTAGAGCGATAAACCGGGGTTCCGGTCTGCACTCGAAAGTGACCCCCCTAAGGCGGCTGCCATTGTACGCAAATTTGACCACACGTCACATGACCAAACCAAATACGTGACGTCACAGGAAAGATGGCAGCGCCCATGCAGCGGCTGGCCCCAGCTGGGCCGGAGCTTGTCGGATGCTTTGTTGGTTGTCGTTCGTCTCGGCGAGTTGATTTCAGACGCGGAAGCCGTCATATGAGGCCGGTCGAAAGCGAGTTCAGAGTTCAGCGTGGTGTAGGTATAACGTGAAAATACGGAGGAACGGTGTGCATTTCGCTGGTGACCGTGTGCATTTCGCTGGTGACCGACCGGGATATTGCCACGGAAGAGACAATCTGACCTACGTTGCTCGGACCTCGGATTGATTCGGATACCGCTAGGATAAAATTTAAGGCGACGTTTCTGTGCTCTCGTTGACCATCGGAATCTTCGAGGTTTGCAGTGAAGCGTGTGCAATATATTTGGATACACAGTTTAGCGACGGAAATTGCATGAGTCGTGCTTGGCGGTGTGCAATCGCGGTGCAGCCTCGATCAAATGACCGAGGCTCACTTCGGTTGTGCGGCGTACCGGAAGGCTGCCTTGAAGCTGGTAGTTCCCGTGCCGCGCTGAATGATGCTGTGCTGCTTACAAATTGTTCTGGCGTAGAAGTGCACTTTCACGGAGCACAGGTGTGCGGCGCACCGAAGAGCTGCCTTCAAGCTGGTAGTTCCTGTGCCATGCTTTAGGTGATGCTGTGCTGCTTCCAAAATTGTTCCGGCGTAGACGTGCACTTTCACGGAGCACAGGTGTTGCAGTTGGTATTGATCCCGCTGGTCTGTCGCACGTTTCGTCAACACAAACGTTTCATCCACACTCGTTACGCGAATTGCAAGCTGCCCGGACATTTCATCGAGCGTGTTACGTACCCAGCTCACGCCGCTTTGTGGCAACAGTCTGCAGTGGCCCATTACCAGAAAAGTGGTCCCACATCCATTTCAGTTCAGTTCGTCCACGGCAGTCGCCAAACCCCGAAGGAGAGGATTTATTCGGACAGAATGCCACTAAAGCAATGCAGCTTCTTCAGTGGTCAGGATAGATTCTCTTCTGCGAGTTTTGTTATACTGTCACGGACCCTTGTTCCAGTCCTATCTTCTATCAATATTCACTATTCTGGGACACTGCAGGTCATGCTCAGCTGTAATTGTATGTTCAGGTGGAGGTGCTGGGCACTTTACCCATAGCCCTTCACTCTGTGTGAACCCGGCGGCTCTTCAACCGAGTTACCCGATAATGGGACACGGCTGGCGGACTATCCTGCGTCTTATACCCCTGTCGAGCCGTAAGCAAAGTCCTGACCCGAGCCTGGCAGAACAACCGCAAGACGACCGAGTACCACAAGGAGTAAGCTCGGAAATACACCACGAAGCACCTGAAATCCGAGCCAGTTGCTGCTACCAGGAAAAACCACCGGAATTCGGTCTCCTGTCAGAAAATCCGAAGCTGACTAAGCCAACAATGACAAACCTGTAGCAGCAAACCGTGTCCCCTCCCACCATTGTTTGCATGCCCGTCGCAAATCACACTCCGACGCTTTTTCACGCAAGCTGTATGAAGACGTCAAGGACTGGATTGAACAATATGACAGTGTCGCCCGCCACATTGGGTGGACAGACAACCAGCTCCTGCAGAACCTATACTTCTCGTGGAAGAAACTGCCGGCGCTGGTCTGAGAACCATGGATCCTCCTTAACGTCATGGGAAGTATGCAAGATCGAGCTGAAGCGCGCATTCGTCAGCCAACATCAACGAGAGAGAGCCGCATTCTTGATTCTGTCCAGGACACTGCCCCAATGAGAGCGCCACCGCACTCGTGGAGGATGTTTTGCGCTTGATCGAGCGCCCACGCCCACGCCGACCTTGATGCTACAGAACCTAAGAATCCCATGCCCCTCACGTGAAGGACAACACCTTCGGCAGCCTTGTCCGCAACCCCCCCAACAACAGTCGGAGTGTTCATATCACTGAGGCTTCCAACATGGAATGTGCACTGCATGCCCAAGCCTGCCACTATGAACAACTTCCCGGCGTCTCGACACTCGAGTTGTCCAGCTACTACTTCGACGCCAGCCTCCCAGGCATCCACGACATCATCCACGACGTTGTCTGGGAGGAGATCAGGAAGCTACTTCCTGCCATCAGTTGCCTGGCTTTTATTTTGATTGCCGAGATTGTTTCGGAACAAGTTTGACAGGTATTTCAACCGAGACTTCTGCGAGCGAAGCGGCATCTGACAAACCGAGGGCAACTTACACCACAATGGCACGACGACCGCCACCGGCTGCCCCTTAGTATTCAATGCCAATTCAATGAGACACTCTAACGCCGAAGCATTCCCGACATCGTGTGTAGGTCTGTGCTCAACAAAGTATACCGAGGAAAACGTAGGTGATGCGAATGTACAACCGAAAACCACTTTGCTACCACTGCATGAAGCCGACCATGTCTACCAAAGCAGCCCGTACCAATGAATTGGTCGGCGAGGGTTCGTGCCAAACGACCCTCGATTACGTCTTGAGGAGCGACCA